CACGGGCCTGTGTCGCCTACGGATCGACCACGCGCTGCTGTTCAACGAGATAGATAGCAGCGTGGAGCTCCTGTCGATGAACCCAGGGGTGCAGCAGCTGCTATCGAACATCGCAGCCGCAGGTGCGCTCACGCATTCGACACTCGTCGTCGAGACGGACGCGTATCGCAGCCGCATCGGCGGGCAAGGCCGGCCGACAGTGGATCTCGTCAGGCTATGGGATGGAGGATTTGCGACACTCGGAACATTGAAGTTTTATGTGAATGGGTCGGAGCTATCGTATGACGGATCGGCGGGGAGTGCGAGGAACCGGTTTGAGGCTGCTATAAAGGATGTTTTTACGCAGCATCCGAAGAGGAGGAAACTATGCACTGCTGGGGATGATCCTGATGACTAGCAGCGATACATGGATGAGTGGTACGTGAGTAAAACCCTACTGATTCGCGGCTCTACATTGATACAGACTTAAAGGCTCCAACCGTTCCGTTTCCGTTTGCGAATCTGAGAAAACCAAATGGAAACAATATAGAAACCGTTACAAACGGTTATAAACGGTTTGCAAACGGTAGTTTTGAGCCAGTGCGGTATCCTAGCTATATTCGGGGTACGTGGTGTCGTACTTGTCTCGTACGACATGGCTATGTTAGTGCAACAAGGATTCCCAATATGCAAGCATGATTGGTAGGCATTTTGGATGCAAGGGAGTATTGTCCAACTTTGACGTGCAAGACTCACATTACATGCCTACAATCGGGTCTGTAACTGCCACGCAATTGGGGAGAAGCCAGCCCTGGTTTTTATTAGCACTCACTACTTCTGTGCACCACTGGAGGATGTTATAGGTGGGTTAATGCCTCAATTGGGGTTGTAACTTGAGGGGGGCGCAAACCGTTTGCAAACCGTTTGTCAAGCCCCGTGAATGAAACGGAAATGAAAACGGTTTTAACCATTCGCAACCGTTTGCGAACGGAAATGATTGGAGCCTTAGATACAGTGAATTGATACAGTAGTAGAACAGTCTTCAACTCAATAGACAGTCCAATCAGTCAATGTTTCAACGTTCCAATGTCCGAACCTCGAATCGCAGACTCGTCATATTCTTGAAAAAAATTCTGGTGCCAGCGGAACAGTAGTGCTGCATAATTTGTCTTCATATTGGTCCTTATCCTGCATGCCCATAATTCCCAGGGACTGCATTTCTTTATAGTGATTCATTCAGTATCTTCTCTTTTATGCATGTGTCCTGAGATTCACATTGACATTCAACTTAGCTCAATGAATTATCCATTGATCCCATCCCATCCCATCCCATCCCATCCCATCCTATAGCATAAGGATATCGACCCAGTGATGTAGTGCTCAACACACCAGCTCTTACTACGCCAGTCTGCCGACTCCTTAAGCTGGAGGTCCCCCGTTCGACTCGGGGCTGGGTTGTCACCTTAGATTTTTTTTCTCACTCATTTGCAATAATTTAAATTTGTGGATTCCCGCTACCTTTAGGTACGGGTTTCTATAGGGCGCCCTATCAAATCGTTTTGGCGGACGATCACGATTTGGTCATTTTTATTCATGTAAGCAGCATTCTGATTGGCTGGAACAAGCGCTAAAGGCTTCGGCATGTTGACGGCGGTCAGCACAACGTCAGCAACATCTCGTCGAACCGCATATTCCCTCTACCGTTAGGTAAGGGACCTATGGGCGCCTAATTTTACTCCCCACAAAATCACGATTTGCTCATTCCCGCTACCTTTAGGTACGGGTTTCTATGGGGCACCCAATCATTCCACTTTTTGGCAGTGGATCATATTTTCATCATGTACTGTGTCAGCAGTTTTTTCCCTGCCAAATTGCTTCGCCATGAGAATCGGCTCAGCGTAATGCCGAGATCTGCCGGCAAGTTAGATGCCGATTAGGAGGCCTACAGTGGGGATCAGGAGGATGGAAATATATCTGCCTGCGGCAGGTATATTTCTAGGCTGAGGCAAATATTAGTAGAATATTTGTTGTAAAGGCCTCAGAATGTTTAAGTGAATATTGTGTTGTGTGTGTGTGTGTGTGTGGGGGGGGGGGGGGGGGGGGGGGGCTTCGCCGAAGAGGCTGAAAGCCAAATTCCCAGGCGGCGGGAAAAGCCGGGAAAGTGGCTGGAAAATCGGATCCCGAGACGGCGAAGCCCGTACGCGAAGGCTACCGAGGGCCCGTGTGAGGAGACAGACCCCGAGCAACCAGCGCGTTAGTGCCAAAACAGAGCTGTGGTGGGTGGGAGAAAAGCAAAGAAGGATGCTTGAGAGAGCGTAGAAAACGCGTTAGGTTTTTGCTGTAGTCGGAAACGGAAGTAAAGTGATGAGGCGGCTGTGCCGCTGTCAAACAGAATTCACACGCGGTATCTAATCTTATCTAACTTGTCTTCCACTCAGGCCGGCTCGCAAGCCCGCCTCACCTGAGCTCGCACCATGTGTAGTAAAGCAGCTTACTCTCAACCCTCAACCCCTATTCGACAAGGCGAACATAAAAACCGGTACAAAACTTTTGGGCCGATGCAAGAATAAACTAACTGGGGTCAGGCTACCAGTATACAAATGATTCAGGGACTATGAACTGAAGTCGACGAGAAATATCTTGCTGCCAGCTGCTAATTCAATCTTTACGGCCACTGTCTGTGAAAGGCTCCGAGTAGAGAGTAGCACGAATATATATTCGTGAATATGAATATTCACCGAAACCTAGAAATTGATATTTGCATTTGTACGAATATTGATGGCGAATATTCGTTGCTTAGTCAGCAATATTCGCGAATATTCATGAATATGAATATTCAGCGAATACATTGAGAATTCAGGGATTTAGCAGCCACCAATGAGTTGCTGAGGACACTTTTATGTTATCTTGTGAGTTTAAACATTGTTGAAGACTCATACAAGCCCTTGTCTTGCATGTTCAACCATTTGATTGACCATCACACTTGCCGTGTTCAACCTGTCAAGCAGTTGTCAAAGCAAAGATGTCTCTAAAGTGATTGGTTTGCATATGAATTACAGATCTAGTTGGTGTAAATGAAGTGTGTTATGGTTCCAGAGAGGAGATGTGTTAAACAGACCCAAATCTACTATGCTTGATTGAAATTTTAGCTGTGTATTACAGCTGCAAATATTCGTGAATATCAGCTTTCCTGAAAACTGATATTCGCATTCGTGCGAATAGCACAGCCACAGCCATTCGCGAATATAAACATTTGCTATTCGCAAATGGCTTGGCACGAATATTCGCGATATTTGCTATTCGTGCTACTCTCTAGCTCCAAGTCAATTAAGCATAAAGTAAACATGGAAACCATGGTTTGCACTGGCCAAAGAGATGCATGATACTAGACCGAAAGAGGTTGTCTCTTCAAAAATAATTAGCAAATACCAGCCTTCAGTTGAAGGGTCGCCGCCCCGGGCCAATGGTGCAATTTGGGTGAAATGGACTAAATGAAGTGCATTTATTTTTTAGGAATCATATGGACACATGTTGTTACTGGACAGACTTGCTGAACCAACTCCACTTACACCGGACTGATTTCCCGATCAGCATTTTCCCTTGGCCTCAGTTTTTGGCTTCCAGCAACTCGGGTGGGTTATAATTAGCTACTTTTAAAAAAATACCAGTGGCTAATTCAAGCCAACTTGGGTCTTGAGTCTTGATCTTCTATACTCTGCCAATTTGTACCGCCGGGGATTTTGTCCATATCTACGATCAACTCAACCTCACTTGCTCACTGATTCAATTTTATCTTGCCATGTAACCCAACGGATTCAACCATGCATCTAGTTGCAAGTCCCGCTGAAACAAAGTTCGCTGGGACCACTTCTACTGATATACTGTTGAACACCACACCTTCAACTCGTCTGTCACTGATACAAACCTATTTTCGCTGTACTTCACACAGTTATTGGCTGAATACTACAACCGAAATTTACTGCAGCACCTGCAATGGTATGCGTGTCAACAGAAACATCAAGTTAGGAAATCCCACAATTAGTGTAAGATCTATCAGTTGATTATTGAAGTCCAGGCGAGAGGAAAGCTTCGTTTTAGTGCTCTAATCAAACAACATAGAACCACAACAATTCGGGAATAGCTGATTCCGAGCTAAGCAAATATTATCTTAATTCTTTCCTAAATATCCTGTGGCATGAAAGTTGATGTCCTCGCCTTGAAGCGACTGAAGTAAGGGTGCTAACAATTTTAAAAGACCTTGTGACTGAACTTCTCAAATCGGAAAGTGAGATTGAATCAGTCAAGGAACCGAAACGAAAATTGGGTTGAATCAATCCCACCGTGCCAAAAATTTGGTTGGGTAAATAGATTCGAGCGTGAAACTTAAAGCTTAAAGGTTAAATTATCAATAAATTACTGAGTAAAAAATCGAATCAATCGGTATTTAATATTAGATCAGTAGAAATTACTACACGTGCACTCGCCAAGTTGAACGAATAACGGAGAAATGTGGGTCCCGCAAATGTGTCCGGTAAAAACTGGTTTTGTGTTGTGCACTTATATTGGTAGCGGGCTGTGCCGCTCGTCGGCCTTACCGGGCTTATCACAGTGGTACTCAGGCTCAATAATCCACAGCCATATCACTTCTCTCCCATCCCATCTGATCCCAAAGTATAAGGATATCGACCCAGTGGTGTAATGCTCAATACACCAGCTCTTACTATGGTACAGGGCTGTCAACTCCTTAAACTGGAGGTCCCCGTTCGACTCGGGGCTGGGTCATCCGAATACTTTTTTCAACGTGGGTTTACTTCGAATTTTGGACTCGCACATGGCTTGGAACTATGACATTAGGATGACACCCAGCTCACACACCAGCTGTTACTAAGGTAATTGAGAATAGCTATAGGCTGGAGCTCCCCGTTCGACTCGGGGCTGGGCCACCCTGTCATTTTTTTTTCAATTTGTAGTTATTTCGACATTTGTGACCCGCACATGGCTTATAATTATAGAATCAGGAAGACCCAGTGGTGTAACGCTCAACACACCAGCTTCTACTGTGCAGGAGCTCACCGTATCAGGGTATGCTGGAGAACCCCGTTTGACTCGGGGCTGGGTCATCCGTTTGCTCTTCCTTTCTTTTTTGCAATTTTTTTGAATACTTCGCAGCTATTTCAACTGCTTATAGCCATGAAATTATAATGTCATAGGAAGACTCAGTGATGTAACACTCAACACACCAGCTTTCACTGGAGAACTCGCGCTGTTGATGTAATATGGAGCTCCCCGTTTGACTGAGGGATGGGCCAACTTGTCTTTTTTTTCAACTTGTTGGACCGAACCAGGGCAAGGTAATCGTGTAAGCTGGAGTTCCCCGTTCGACGGGGGGACTAGGTCACCCCGAATCCAGGTTTTCCCTCTTTCTAGCATGCAATTATTTCGCCTTTGTTTCTCTCATGATGATTTAAATTTGGGACAATGGTATTACAACAGGATCTATTGGTGTAATGGTAACACAGCAGCTTTCGTTACCACAGGAATCGGGAATGTATGCTGCGGCTCTCCGTTCGACTCGGGGCTGGGTCATCCTGTTTTTTTTTTCAACTTGTATTTATTCGACATTTGGACCCGGATATGGCTTGAAACAGCAGTATTTGAATAAGACTCAGTGGTGTAATGCTCAACACACCAGCTCACTATGAGGTCTTAGTGTTACTGCAGTAAGCTGGAGTTCCCCGTTCGACTCGGGGCTGGGTCATCCCATATTTCTTTTCAACTTGTATTTATTCAACTGCTCAGAGCCATAGCTCGCAATTCTAATGTCATTGTATGACCCAGTGATGCAATGGTTGACACACCAGCTCTTACTAGCGAGGATCCACATTGAGTATGCTGGAGCTTCCCGTTCGACTCAGGGTTGGGTCATCCTAAATCTAGGTTTCTTTTTTCAACTTGTATTTATTTCGACCTTTTGGAGTTGCATATGGCTTGAACAGCAGTATTAGAATAAGACTCAGGGGTGCGATGCTCAACGCACCAGCTCACTATAATGTCTATTACTACAATAAGCTGGAGTTCCCCGTTCGACTCGGGGCTGGGTCATCTCATCTTTTTCTCCAACTTCTATTTATTTCAGTGTTGGACCTGCTCATGATAGCTTGGAACAATGGCATTGTCATAAAACCAGTGGTGTAATAGCAACACAGCAGCTTTCATTTGCATAGGAATTTAAAGCGTATGCTGCAGTTCCCTGTTCGACTCGGGGTTGGTTCACCTTGTCTTTTTTTACTTTTCAACTTTTATTTATTTCGATATTGGACTCGCTCGTGATGATTTGTGATTATGCTCATCGAATAGGACTTAGTGGTGTAATGGTAACACACCAGCTGCGATTAGGGCCAAGTAGTTGTGTTACGCTGGAGCTCCCTGTTCGACTCGGTGTTGGGTCATCCCATTTTTTTCCCCACTTATATTTATTCACCTGCTCATAGCTCGCAATCTTGTTACTCTGGTAGCCGTACGTTGGAGCTCCCCGTTCGACTCGGGGCTGGGTCAAACTTTTACTTTGTCGACTTGTATTTATTTCGACTTGGTTTTACTACTCATGACTCGCAGATTATGAAGTCATAACAGGACCCAGTGGTGTAACGGTAACACACCGGCTGTTATTGGGGATGCGTCAACAATTATACTGGAGCTACCTGTTTGACTCGGGGCTGGGTCATCATCTCATTTTTTTTCGATATTGGACTCGCCCGTGGTGATTTGTAATTATAGTGACAAAATACGACCTAGTGGTGTAATGGTAACACCCTAGCTGTGAATAGAGTGCGGCTACACGACGTTACGTTGGAGTTCCCCGTTCGATTCAGGGCCGGGTCGACGTTTTTTCCTAATTTTTTTTCTTTACTATTCTGCAATTACTCGACTGCTCATAACTCGGAATTCTAGTTCTGCAATGCGACCCAGTGGTGTAACGCTCAACACATCAGCTTCATTTGGCTGCCAGGAGATCACACATATAAGCTGGAGCCCCCCGTTCGACTCGGGGCTGGGTCATCCCACTTTTTTTCTTCTTCTTCGTTATAATCATTTTCTTTTTCAAATTTGATTCCTTGCGATGTCCATCTCCGACCCCACATGATTCTTCGATATCCAGCGACGAACCACGCGAGCAACGAATGAGCACCAGCAAATAACAATAATATATTCATTGCAACTGCAATTCCTGTAGCGTAGAGCGTATATGGTGGGTAGCGGGTACAGTTGGTAAGTATGAGTGGATGCGCGGGAGGGAGGGATGAGTGAATGCGAGGTAGGGGGGGGGAATAAACATGCACGGATAAAGATACGACGTACGACGCGCGCCCGCCGTACGGGGACGCTCGCACCCAGAGCCCAGAACCCAGAGGAAAGGATGCGTATGAGGCCAACGTTCACTCCAGCCCCAATGCCCACGCGCTCTGCTGGCGCTCCTCCAGCTCGCGTATCCTCCGCTTTACCGCCGCTGCCTCCTTCCCGCCCTTGCTCCCCACGCCGATGCGCTCCAGCTGCGTCTGCGCCTGACGCAGCTCGGCCGCGAGGTACGCCTGGCGCGCGGCGGGCGAGGACCCAGCGCCAGGCTCCGCGGCCGGGGCCACTGCGCCCACGAACGGCTGGGGCCACGCACCGCCGTTACCGGCATTGCCGGTGTTATGATTATTGCTGTTATTGTTATTCGTGCTGCTCATGGGCGGGTACCCCGCCAGCTCGACTGCATCGCGGTCCATCTCTGACGGCTGCGGCTGCGGCGGCGCTGGTGTTTTGAATGTGGATGATGCGGATGCAGGCGCGGGCCCGCCGCCGAGGGTGCGGGGCGGCTGGGCCTTGAGCTGCCGCTCGCGCCGGCGCGCGCGGCGTAGAAAGAGGAGGCGGACGAGGACGAGGGCGACGATGCCTGCAATGACGGCGATGGAGACGCCGACGATGAGCCCCACGGGCGCGTCGTGCTCGTCGTCCGACTTGAGGTGCGGATGACCCGTCGCCTTACTGTTCCAACTTTATTAGTTGCCAAGAAAACTTGTAAAAAAGGAAGGACGGACGCGGGCGCATCTGTCTCGATTGCGGTGTCGGGTGCCTTGTCCGTAGGCGGGAGGTCGACGGTGCGCGCGACGGGCGGCTCGGTCAGAATCATGGCGGGCGCGGTTCAGGGACTCAGCCCGAGGTCAGGACGCAGAGGAGGGTCCAGGAGGGTGCAAGAGATCTACACAAGTGGCGTGACAACGCCCATGAGAATCTCTTGGCAACAAGGCCAATCAACGCCGTTGCACAGCAGCTGCAAATAAACATCATCTTCAACGTCCAGGAGATCATCATGGCATGATGATCTCCCGTGATTCGTTCCACTGGTTCCAGCGCATCTCCCTTCTTCTGGATTTGTCTAGTATTGCTCGCTCACCACTCAGGGCAACCTACGCCTCGTTCGAATAGCCAACGCGTACGTATCTCCAACGATCTCCGTCACGCCCGCCCGGCCCCGTTCCGCCCCGCATCGATTGCATGCAAATTGCATGTATGTAAGTAGGTCCAGATATACTGATAGGTCGCCTATCCATGGACATCGCCCTTGTACCTCCGGCGTCTTAAAAAAACCCCTCACCGTCCTGGCCTGCCGCCTGTTCTTGACAGGCAATTTTCCCAGTTCCGCGCGCGCCGCTGCATCCTTAGCGCCGTCATCTCACGTTCAAACGCTGGCTGCGCGTCTCATCCAATATATTATGTAGGTGCATATATGTACAGGATTCATGGCACACTTCCCCACCTTCCGCAACATAACATAATATCCAGCGAGTCAGTCTCCCGGCTCTACCTACACACATCAGTGCACCCAAATAAGTACCCACGTTCCCGCCTCGCTTCCTTCCTTCCCGTCACTGACACTGACATTGACAACCGCCAACAGACCGGTGAGCCCGGTAAGCGCGCGATACATCATACAAATCCAAGTCCCAAATATTTATGTGATGTGATGTGACTCACCCTCGTCGTCCTCCAGAGCCGTCTTTGAATGTTACAGTTTTGAACGCGCTGATGGTTGGATAGTGATCAAACGCGCTTTTTGTTTGTTGGTTGAATAGCGATCACTACCCCTGCATCACCGCACGAATATAGGCCGCACTGGCACGAAATTGATGTACTATCGATCACCCACCTTTGCAAAAAAAAATTGATGGGAGTGCTACTCAAGCATTTGGAGTCAGATTCCTCTAAAATTTAGACAGAGTTCAAGCTATGGGCCTCAATGCTGCCCTCGAAAATTTCCAGCATTTACTGGCACCTGGGGGTGGAGGTATAAGCATGCCGATAAGGGGTCCGTTTTTGATGCTTTTTGACCCACCTTTGCAAAAAAAACATCACGCTGTCACTCCTCTGCCGATCAGGCCGACGTTTCAGCAAAGCTTTTGGTACGTTACGTACCGAACGCAGTGCCGAGCGGAGTTTGAATTTCGCTTCGGGTTTGTCACGCGTTGAAAACGACAGTTGGACACAAAATAGAAACAGGTTTTTATTCAACAAAAAATATGGTCGTATAGAGGAGACCTCTAAGATTCACCTCCAATTTTTCGGGAGTCCAGGCATTGAGTGTAGCAAGAGGTATAAAAGGCCGAGCGTGTTTACACCTGTTTAAGGCTCAATTTTGACAGGTTTTGATTTTTTTCCGAGGTTGTCTGGACACTAACCAACTAGAGACTTCAGTTGTATACCCATAGAGTATGGAAGAGCTCATATATATTTTATCTAAGGGATAGAGCAAGAATTTAAGTCGCTAAAAAAGTTTTTTGCAAAGGTAGGCATTTTTGCAAAGGTGGGCCATCGATAGTACGGGCGGGCGATACGAGCGGAGCATATGCACATCCCATATACATTGCCAAATATTAAATTATCCGCACGCATGTTTAATATTTTACCCATCTAGTCACCCACTCCATAGCTCGCCGCTCTGATAAATAAAAATACAGACTTGTGTCCCATATACCCGGGGCTGAAGGGAGGGAATGGTAGCGTATTAGTAACCGCACGAAATATACATACATACTCGCCTGTGCAGACGCTGGTCAGTCAATATTCTCGCGGCGAAACCTTGTAACTAACAGCGTGGCATCGGACAACATTTCTTTTTTAAAGGACCCTGCTCAACGCGAGCGTACTTCATGTACATATGTATATACGACATCGAGTCGCGTTATTAGTATGGCCATCTGGACATAGGTCGACCCTTGGGAACACAATGAAAAGAGACTGCACCAATACTCCTAAATCTACCACCACTACTACTACAACACAAGGATGATTAACATACAGTAGTAGCTATAGGAAATATGAACCAAAAACTAAAACTAAAAAGCGAAAATGAAGACCCAGCCCCGAATCGAACGGGAATCACCAGCTCATTTCAATTTACCATCTTACTCACGTAATGCCAACCGGAGTGTTACCGTTACACCACTGAGTCCTTCAGGGTACATCTCAACATCAACTGGTGAGGATGGTTTTGAGGCGGAAAGAACTACACTACACGCCCGTATGAAAATCAAAGTGGCAATACTTAGACGAATTCCAGTTTTTTTTTTTTTCTTTTTCTTTTGGCCATCGGTATACATATTTAGCTGGTATCGCACACACTTATGTATATTCAGCGGAGCGTTAGCCATTGCACCATTGCACATATATAATCAACTGCTCACGAAATTGAAAAAGGGAAGAAAAAACAAATGACCCAACCCCGAGTCGAACGGAGATCACCAGCTCATCCTGGATCAATTCTTAATACAAGCTGGAGTGTTTCCATTACACCACTGAGTCCTTCTCATTATAAGTTTATCTCTATATCATGTAGTGTGAGGTGGAAACAAGAAGAGGAGTCCCCGGAGATGAGTGAATTCCAGCCGAAGTATTCATTTATTTTCGTGTCGGTATACACGTTCAGACGTCATGGGACTTGTGTATATTCAGCGAGGGTGGCATGGAGCGTCAACCTCACGAAAATTGAAATGAAAAATTAAACAAAAGGAAATCAAAAAGAAAAGAGTGGCCCAGCCCCGAGTCAAACAGGGATCGCTAACCTAGCTGCAACAATAATGCGCCTTGAATTCAAGCTAGCATGTTTGCGTTATACCACTGATTCAGAGTCCCTTCAAACTCTGGATAAATCATTGATGATTTATGAGAAATGGAATAAAAGCAAAAGAAATAAATGACGTAGCCCAGAGTCGAACAGGGATCGCCAGCTTAACCATCACTTGAACAACATAATACAAGCTGGAGTGTTACCGCCACACCACTGAGTCCTTCTACACTACACAGTGCGGACACTTTTGAAACGGAAACAAGAAGGAAAACAAGTTCCGAAATATTCATTTTTCTCCGTCACCATTATGCATGTATATCCAGACGCTGCCAATTACTGGCAGTGCCATTTTGCAAACAAATCAACTGCTCACGAAATCGAAATATTAAACAAAGGGAAGTCGAGAAAAAGACTGACCCAGCCCTGAATCGAACAGGGATTACCAGCTTATATACAGTAATTATAAGTAATTATGTCCCAAATTTTTGATTTGGCTCAAAACAATCCTTAAGACCTCATAAACAGTCATAAGCCACGTAAACCAAAGTGCTGCTCATAACTGGTGTTTCCCGGTTAAGAGTGTTTACAACCCACCAGCATTCACAACGTAAATTGTCATAAATCGTTGTAACCCCAGTAGTTCCAACGCAATTAAAAAAAAAAAGCATTCAAAAAATGTTGTAGTACATGATTGTAGTTCACGGATTGCCGGCGACATCGCCGGCTGTATTGTCACTGCCCTCCGCGTCGCCCTCTGCCTCTCCCTCGCCCTCTCCACTGCCCTCTGCACTGCCCGCACCATGGTCGTCACCCTCGGGAACATCCTCCGCATCCGACACGACCGGCATCTCCATCATCGCTGCAGTGGCGTCATCTATCTCCTCCCGCTGGCGTTCTTCCTCCCTACTCACGCCCCCGCCAAAGTGGGACCCCTTCAGCTCCGGGAACAAATGCGAGTCCCAAAAGAGGAACAAGTCGCGCGCCCAGCGGTGTTGGAGACGGAGACCATCGAGGATCTTCTGGAGGTATAGCTTGTGGCGTTCGTAGTAGTTGATTCCCGTTACCTCGCCGATCTTCGTAGGGCTGGGGTCGGCGGAGAATAGCCAGAGAACCTACACAGTGACGAAGATCAGTACCACATGAGAGAAGATGCAGATCACGTACCAAGATGGCACAGCTGGTGATGGCACCAGGTGTCGTGAAGCCAATGCTGAACGTACGTTGCATGCACTCGGCGCGAGGGAGCTTGGACTTCTTCTTCATTAGACCTACCGGGCCACGGGTTCCGCGAATGATTGAAGCAAAGACCTGGTTCAAGACGTAAGTAACGGCAGTCACAGCGGATAGACAACACACCTTAAGCAAAAGGCGATGGCGGAAGAGCTCGTTGAAGTCGAGTGTGTCGGATTCATTACCGTGCAAGAGTGGAACCCCGTAGATCGAGTATTCGCTGGTATCAGCGCGCCAACCGATGAGTACCTTGAAGTACTGGCTGCGCAGTTCCGGGGTCGCGAGCATTGAGTCGGTAACCTTGATAGGAACGCGGTCCTCGAAGGGAGCCTCGTCCTCGTCGTCGTCGGAGCGCTCGGGTGGATCAATCTTGAGCCCGTGAATGATGTTGTATAGGCCGTCGCGGCGGAGTCGGGAGGTTGTGTTATTGAGTTGATTCCGCATGCCGTCGTCAAACTGCAATTGTCAGAGCGCTGAATAGGAAGGAGAAAGAACGACGTACCGATCTTGCGAACCACTCGCGGTCCGTATACTCAACCAAGTCCTCCGGAAGTATATCAACAACTTCGCGAAGCTGCGCCTGGCGTTCGTCACTCTCGTCTATGGCGCCGTTGAAACGGAGCTCAGGGTCGTAGTCCTCGTCGAAGCTGGTGCTGAAAAAGGCTTGGACGTCGTCTTCACCAAGCGCGAGCCAGATTCCGCAGAGGATGACGAACTTGCGGCCGTAACGACGGATACGAGCCGCGAGCTCGGGACCAGTACATCCGGTGGGGAGATCCTGGGCGCCGTCGGTACGATGGTTGCGTGATGTACGGGTGCGCTTGGTGGGATTCTGGACCTCGTTCTCAGCATCGACCGCGCGACGCTTGAGACCATTGACCACCTCGTCCTGATCGCTGATGCCATCGAGGATGCGGTGACGAAGCTGTGGTACAGTGAGTATATGGTCCAAGAGAAGAGATAGAACGACGCACGCCGCGGAGGAAGCCCTGAGACTGACTGGGAGTGAGCTGGTTGGCGAGCTCTCTCAGCACGTCGGTGTTGTTGTCGGGAGGCGGAGTACTGGTGCGTGAAGAGGGAGATGAGGTGTTGGTGGGTTGAGACATAGTTGTATTGACTAACCGAACGCCGCCCTCGTCTTTATATCGTCCCGCCAGTGGAGCATGGTGGTTGAGTTGAGAGAAGCGAGTGGAGTGTGAGTCACAGTCACGTGTAATGATATCATCGATTTTTTCTACTTTTCGCACACACTTGACATGTCCAGTACACGCAAACGAAAGCGTGAGGACGAGCCCGACGTGGACTACTGCTCTGTCTGCCATGAGGCATTCCATCCCCGCGCTATTGTCGCCCATCAATTGCTCTGTCGGCAAAAGAAGCGCGCACGCGATCAATTAACCCGCGACGCGCAGGCCTTGTCTCAACGTCGGAAAGGAAAAGGAAAGAAGGGAAAAGGACGGACGTCAGATGAGAAGATGCCAAAGCTGAGGCTGAGGCTGCAGGTGCGTGATAAAGTGCCCACTTGCAATGTGCTCAATCTAATGACTAAGTTAGACTAACTTCCAGAATTCATTGTCCCGTATTCCGCGCGCTGGAGGCAAGGAGAACTTACCTCCACCAGGCCAGTTTGGCGACCCTCCTCAGTTTGAAGACCCATTGGACCGCTCCTTGCCTGCCCGCCGGTCTCCTCCGCCTTCGCCGTCCGCTCCTGTTCAAGACACTGCCCATCTTCCATCTCATTTCATTCTCACCGTCTACCACAAGCACTCGGGGCTTGCCTCAAAGATTGTTCCGCTTGATGGGCCACCTCAGCCTCAACCCGAACGTCCTCTTGCGTTAGGATTTAATCCGACGAAACCCTTCGCGCCATTTCGAGTCTTCGCCGACTACCACTTTACCTCGATGTGCGTGCGCCATGCAGAGTCGGAGAAGCAGATCAAGGAGCAGTTGGATGCTCTGCATAACCAAATGTGGGCTGGTCCGTGCAAGCTGACTATCCGCACGGTCAAAGATATGTCCATGTCGTTGGCTGCGGCGCGTCAGATGGCAGTACAGGTGTGTTTGCAACATTTTGCATGAGTGACCTAAATAGATTTTCAGTTTAATACTACAATGTTCCGTGTCGAGTTCGAGGGTAGAACTGAACGTTTTCGCGGCACCCACGAGATTGAGTTCAGCTATCGAGACCCTTGGGAGGTGATCAAGCAGTGGGTACGCGATCCGACGCTGGTGCCTTACAGTAATTGGTTCTCCGCTCGGAAATTCTATTGTCATGGCGGGGAGAGTATGAAAGTTGTTGACGAGATTATTGATGAACCTTACACGGCAGAAACATGGCGCAACGTCGACGTAAGTAATTAATTTATAACCTTGCACCCAAACTGAGCGTAGACCAGGACCAGCTGCCCGATCTATATAAAATCGATGTGGAGGCAAGGCCACCTTTTCCCTGTGTGTATCTCCCGCTCCACATCTGGCTCGACAAGGGAAAAGTCTCCACCAAAGTTAAGAAACATCCCATCCTCTTACGAGGGCTGTGGATCGACTCAATTATTCGCAACGCGTCAGGGAATGGTGGATGCGCTTTACTCGGGTACATCGTAATGGTATGGTGATAGTATTCAAGTGAAGGCACCATACTAACGACGCGCAGCCGCCGACGCTCCGCAATGTGGATCGAAACACTTTGAGCGCGCCGGAGAAAGAGGATTTCATTGAGCTGTGCGGTAAGGTATACCACGGCCTCAATGAAAAGCTCCTCGCACCGCTCAAATGGCGCTCTCATCGCGGAGACACTCTCCGTTTCGGTGACGGCGAACATCGCACGGGATTTCCGGGCATCGAAATCCAGTCAATGGACTTTCAGGAAATCGCAGCGTGGTTGGGTATGCGCAGCTCACAGGCGAACTTTCCCTGCCCGAAATGTCTCGTCCCGAAGGACAAGCTCCACTGCCTTACACGGCATTTCGCTCACCGCACATCAGCATCGATGGCGGCAGTTGTCCACAAAGCCCAGAGCAAACTCACCAAAGGCGAGAAGGAGGCAGTACTTAAAAAGGCGGGGCTACACAATGTTGAGGTAAGTTTCATTGCGGCCAATTTCTTGCCATACTCAAGTCTCGGGGGACAGCAAATTCTCTGGCACTTCAACTTTTCGGATCCATACAAGGCAGTCTCGTACGATACGCTCCATTGGGATGAGGGTGGTAAATTTGGGCGACATCTTTGGGTCTATACGAAGAAGATTCTGAGCAATGTCAATTTGACAAATGAATTCAACGCGTGGTGAGCGTTTTCCGCTCTTCTGTATCCATGGACTCATGATCCCTAACGTACATATTAGTATGGATCAACTCCCGCGTTGGCGCGCAATGGAACATGTTCCTGCTGCCACAACGATCGATTTTGCGGAGGGTGAGACTTGGCTTACTATCCTCAAGGTACGCAGTTAAATTTCAGAGTTCTCATCCATATCAGCTTACATTTATCAGACTATGTTAACCTGTCTCGTCCATCTTCTTCCCCGGAATTCCCCTTTAGTCCGAGCTCTGCGTGCGCTCCAACAGTTTCGTATGCTCGTTGGGATGCATTGCATGACGGGGAAACGCCTGAAGCTCATGGAGCGCTTCATCAAAGACTACGATCACGCCTGTCGCGTATGTGGTTGATTATTTGAAGCTTGTCGCCTGGCTAAGATGTTTCTAGGAAATCAAGGACAAGGATTTCGATTTTCTTAAGCAGCACTACACGGTTCACTCCCTGCAGGATATCCGCGAGAAGGGAACAACGAATCATATGTCTACACGGACGGGGGAAGGTTTCCAGCAGGAAGTGGCTCGACATTATAAACGTACTAGTGGCGTTAACGCTGAGCACCAGGTGCGGCCATTTATCTCCCTCTTTCTCCTCACTGAAACGGCGGCAGATGGTGTTAATTGATGAAAATGAGGAGGTCATTGCCCAGCTCGACATGATTGTTGCTGACGACAG